GAAGAGCGCCTCGAGTTGCTGGTCCGCCTTTCGGAAGGCAGCCACCTGCCAAGGCAGCAGGCGGGCGGCAGAGAGATTCAGCTTGGCGGCGTTCTCGTACCGCTTGAGCGAGCTCTCGCATTGCCACCCGCCTCACTTTTTCAGCTCCATGTGATCGCGGTGGCGGCTCTGCATGTCCAGCGAGGCCCCCGAGTGGCGGCACTGGTGCAACACCAAGCTGCCGAGCTGGAGCCTCGTCCTCGTGATGTTGAGCTGCGCGACCAGCTCGGGGTAGCTGCGCGTGAAGAGCAAGGATTCTGGGGGACCCGGGGCCAGCGCCGCGATCACCCGCGGCAGCCACGGGAACAGCTTGTTGGTGAGGCTGATCCCCTCGTCCTGCATTTGGTTCTTGCGGGTGGCCGCCATCGACTGCGGGAACAACAGCACCCCCCAATCGTTCGAGCCCCCCTCTACTGGCTGGATGAGATCCTGGCGCTGGATCGTGAGCGGCTCGCCCGGTCGGTGGTACGTCACGATCATCCACAGGATGTGCAAACCCATGAGCCAATACCCCTCGCAGCAGAGGTCCCAGACGACAGCTGACCATCTCATGCGGACGACCGGGTTCCTTGAGCGCCGCCCGCATCCCCGGCGCCACCCCTCCAGGCATCGCCAAGCCCGGGGGAGGCGCAATCCCCCCAGCTTGCCATACTGGGGCTGGAAGTGCAGCAGGGCCGACAGCAACGCGTCGCCCTTGTTCGAGTGGTGGCCCGACTCGTATAGCCCGTTCATGTAGTGCACGAGCGCATCGCCCACCTCGCTGTCCACGACGAGCTGGCGCTCCCCGGCGGCGCTGATGAAGGCCTCGAGCTCCACCTGATACCGCGTCTCCGTGCCCAGCCTCACCGCCGAGCGCTCCAGCAGCGTCAGCCCCGCCAGAGTGGGCGACGCCTTGGCCTGGGCGACTGCCCGAGCGCGATGCCGGGCCGTCTGGCGGAGCTGCCGGGTGCGTGCTGCCTCCGCCTCGTTGGCCACGGTCGTGGCGTCGCTCTCGCCCTCGCTGTCGCCCGTCGGGCTGCAGTTCGCCTCTGGGTCGCGCGCCGCGGCCCCTGAGGCGGGCGGGGCCAGGGTGAGCCGTTGCCGCACGCCGTCCCGGGGCGATCCCAGCGCCCGCGTCCGGCCGGCTGGCGCCTTTGGCCCGCTCGGCAGGCCCTCAAGCCCAGGCGACAGCACCCGCGAGCGCTTCGCAAGCGGCTCGGGCGCGGCATGCGCGGGCGCGCTGCCTCCTGCCGGCAGCGGCGCTGCCAGGCGGCGACCGTGCCCGCGGCCTGTCGGCGGGCCAGACGCCATGGGCACGCTGATCGTCGCACCCGCGATCGCCCACCGCCGCGGCAGGTCGCCGGAGGTCCCCCGTAGGGGCGCACTCGGGAGCCGAGGTGGCGACGGCGGCAGGCTGGCTCCTCTGGGGCTCGTGGAGGTCCTGAGGGTCTAGGGCGTCGGGGGTCTCGGTGGGCTCGTTGAGGGCCTGCGGAGCTGCTCTGGGGCTCGTGCCTGTAGTAACTGAGGTACTGGTGAGGCCCAAGACTGTGTGCTTGCTCGTGCTCTCATCTTTGCCAAACTTGTCGTGCTTGCGGTTCTCCGTATCCACGTGCTTGCAGTAGTGCGTCGTCTTGGTGTGTGCATTATCTTGCTCACGTACATGTTGGGGTAGCCTACGATTCACTGGTATCTTGCCGTAGTCCTCAGAAGCCTCCCAAGAGCGCACCAGGGTCTTACCGGGGTCGTAGCTCGGGTCGTACAGCCTAGAGCCCTCGTCACTCGGGTTGAGCTCACTCGGAACCCATCTCACGTGCAGGCGCTTGTTGAGGGAGAGGCACAGGGCGACAGCCCGACGAATGCATGAGAGGACAATCAAATGTTTGCTCTCCACCTCTCGAAGCACAGTACTGCTGGCAGGTTGTCGCTCATGACGACGACATGCTCGCCCTCTCGCGGTGACAGGCTGCACAGGCCGACCAGGTGAAGGGCCCTCCAAGTGTGAGCCCGGGACCCCCTCCCGGGACGGGCGGTCGGCGGGTAACGGTTCCCTTCCCCCCCCCTCTGAGTTTTCTCTCGGTGATGGGTCCAGGTGTAAAACTGGGGGGAAAAGAAATCCATGGGTCTTCGGATTGTGTTTCCTGCTTTGGTTGAGGGGTGCTGGGGCCATGGACGAGGAACCGGCTAACCCACGCCCCTCAGGGGGCGCCCCCTCTGGATCTCTGGTGGGGGACGGGCTGTCGGTCTTCGGCGGTGGGTCTCTCGGTTGGTTCTCGGCTCAGCCGCCCCCGGAGTCTTCGGGGAACTCGTTTGGGGGCGGGACTTCACACACCCCACCCCCACCATCAGGCGGTAGAGGCGGTTGGGTCTCCGGACCTTCCTCGGCTGCCAGGGGGAATGGGGATCCCGGCTACGCCACTGGCCCCGGCGAGCCGGCAGGGTATCTGGGGGGAGGGGCGGCTGTGTCGGCTGACGGTGGCTCTGGCCATGGTCAGTCGGGGTGGCCGCCTCCAGTCACCAACGGGACAGGAATTTGAGGGCCACTAAGAGAGTAGGTCCCATAGGAGGGCGCAGAGACGCGAGCGTCGGAGGACGGCTCGCGAGGCTCGCAAAAAGGAGCGTAGATTGCGAAAAAGGTCTCAGGCAATGTATCGCCTATCCATTTTGCGTAAGCAGAGACGCCCCCGCGCTCAGACCCTCTCCTCCTTCTCCTCTGCCCCCTCCCCCCCTGGCTCCTCCCCCTCCTCCTCCGTTGTCCTCTTCCTCTTCTTCGTGCCCCGCCCCCCCCCTTCCCCCACCTCGTCCCGGCGCGGGTCCAATAAGCCTGGGTCACCCGCCCGCGGGTAGCAAGGCGCCGCCGAAGGCAGTGTCACCAGCCCGGCGGCTTGGCGCCCTACAGCGTGCCGTCGTAAAGCGCCGCCCCTCCGCCAAACTAGGCGCAGGGGGGCGGGCGAAGAGCTCGGGGCCGAGCAGAGGGGCCAAAGCGAAGTCTGGAAAGGCAGCTGCCCCGAAGCGGGGGCACGGGTAGGGAGACTGACGAAAGCAGGAGCGTAGTTGCATTGATTATCGTTGGGGTATTCGCCCTTCCACCCCCCCCATTCGCTCTCCGCCCCCGCCCCCTGTTCCTTCCGTTGGCAGTAATGGTCTGTCCGTCGTTGTTCTTCGGTTTTTTTCTCTTGTCGGGCACGGCTCGTGGCGTTTCTCTTCGCGTCTGCTGCAGCCCAGGGGTCAGCTTTCGCGCTGCCCCTCGTGCCGGTGTAGGTTTACCCTGCACCGGGGGAAGGCACAGATTCCTTCGGGTTCCACATTGTGCCGTCGTTGGTCTCCTGGCCTTCGACACCGCCCTCCCCCAGGTCCTCGGCAGCAGGAGGGCCGCCCCCATGAGGGGCTCTGTGTTGGGTTTTTTGCAATCGTGCGAAGCCGTGCCCAGTCTTTTTTCTCGTTCGGTGTCGTTTTCTTCTCCCCTCCCTCCCCCCCTCCCCCTCTTCCGCCTGCTTTTTCCTCGTGTTCTTACCTGTCTTGCCTCTTTTCTGCCCCCCCCTCTTTTCCTCCTGTCGTCGTTGGGGGTTGGACCATTACTACCATCTCCCACCCCCTTCTGTCTCTGTCAACGTGAGTATCCCGCCACGCATCCATTGCACGTTGTTGTGTGTACGCAGGGATCACGGCACTCTCCTCTTCTCGTCGCATTCGCCCGCCGCGAGCCCGTCAGGAAGGCTCTTGTGTCGGTCCGCGTCCGTTCCCGCTGCCCGGGAGCAATGGCGGCACGCAGGGCCGCGGTGGACGAGAGGTTCGCGGCGCTCGAGGCGAGAGTCACGTCGGTGGAGGGTGGGCTGCAACGCGTAAAGAGGGACCTGGGCGAGGTGCGCAAGAGCTGCCACGTCGTCCTTGAGGGGTTCGACAAGGTGGAAAGCGCGTGGGCAGAACATGCGCCGAGCCAGTTGTGGAGGGAGCTCCGCCTGGCAGTGCCGAAGGCGGTGGGCGAGGACCTCTGTGAGGCCCTCCAGGTGCCGTGGCCGCTGCCGCAGGAAGACTCCCAGGAGTTCCAGGCGCTGGGCGACACGGGGCGGGCTATCTCCCAGATAGTCAGCGGCCTGGCCGGCGCGGACGTGCTGGCGCACGTCTTCGACCAGTCGAGGAACACGGCCGGCGGCAGGAGCCGAGTCGAGGGCACCTTTCGGTTGACCCTCCGGTTCGGCGAGGAGTCCCTGTCGGTGCAGGCGGCGCTGTCCTTTTTGGACGGGCCGCTTCGCACGGCAGCGGGCCTTCCCGTTCGCGGGAGGCCTGCGCCGCCGAGGGCGGAAGGGGCCCCTGCCCCGAAGCGCAGGCTGGCGTACGCCGAGGCGACGCCGGAGGAGCGGGAGCGCAAGCGCGCGCGCCAGGAGGCCAGCGGTGGCGGCCCCAAGGGCAGGGGCGGGAAGAGCAGCAAGGGGCGCGGCGGCAAAAACGGCGGCAAGGGCAAAGGAAAGAAGGGTGCCAAGGGGAAGGGTAAGGGCAAGGCCCAGGGCAAAGCGCCCGCCGCGCCCGCGGCCGAGCCCGCCGCCAGCGCCCCGGCGTCCTCTGTGGCCCCAGCGCCGGCGGCAGCCCCGACCGCAGTGGCGCGGGCCAAAGCCGCTGCTGACGCGGTGGCCGCGGTCCACGCCAAGGCCGCCCCAGCGGCCGCCGGCAGCGCCGACCCCCCCCCTTCGGGGGCGGGGGCGGTGGTGGCCTGAGCGCCCACCCCACCGGCGTCGCATTATGAGGGGGCCTCACCACACCCCCGGCGGCGCCGCAGCGGAACGTGGTGGGATTGGTTATACAGGCTGATGCTTAGTTTCGTCCCCCCACTCCCCCCCCTTCCCCCCCCCTTGTCCTGCCCCTCCCCTGCCCCCCCCCTGTTTCCGCCCCTCCCCCCTGGCTCCTCTTGCCCCTCCCCTCCCTCCACCCGCCCCTCCCCCACCACTGCGGGCCTCGCTTTGTCCATCCTCCCTCGTCTACCAAGGCATTTATTTTCCAGGCCCCTGGAATGGGGCCCTCTCCCGCCCGCCGTTCGACGGCGACTCGGCGGAGGACGAGGACGAGGACGAGGACGAGGACAGGCTGCACAGGATCTCTACAGCTCGCAAAAGGGCACGTGACTCGTAAACCAAAATGTATTCCGAAGTATTAAGCCACCCGCGGGCGACTATCTCTGTCCAGCGGGACCCTGGGAAGATCTCCGCTGCCATCTCTTTGAAGGTTCTGTCAAGCCCCCGCTGAGTCTGGGGCGCAACCTCGTCATGCTCACCAAGGTCGGCAGCATCTTTGAACGTCCCCTCGCTGGTCATCACGATGCCGTTGCTGGCGAAGAAGTGGGCCCGAGCGGAATGGCCGCCCAGGCGGCCGAAGCGGGATCGCTCCTGCACCCGTCCGATCTCCTTCACGGCGGCCGGCTTGAACAGCGAGGCGCTCACCGCGGCGTAGCCGTGCTCCGACGCGTCGGAGAGGCAGACCAGCGGGCACCACGGGAGCGCCCAGTCGCCGCGCAGCAGGGGCATCATGCCCCGGAAGGCGACCATCTCGGCCCGCGCCGTGGGCCAGAGCGGCGCGGCCTCCTGGTAGTGGGCCGCTATGAACTTGTACGTCGCGTTGAAGACTGGGAGGAGGTCGCGATTGCACATGGCGCAGTAAGTGCAGTGGCCGAGGACAATCTCCCATGTCCAGCCTGGCAGGGCTCTGCAGCCCAGAGCCCACGAGACACCTTGCCGCACCCGCCAGTAACGTTTGGCCGTGAGCCTGGTGGTCAGCGAGGCTCCGTCCAGCACGCAGCCCAGCGTCACGCCGCGGCCCCTCTGGATGTCCGTCTCGTGCGTCCTCAGGCCCGCGGCGTCGAACCTCGTGGCGGCGGCGGCGAGGCTCGAGGACACCTCTGCGCCGTCGAAGCCCATCACCCCGAGGTTGTCGACGTGCGTATACTGAGCGCCTCCTCCCTCGGCCAGCTGGGCCGACGGCCGAAGCACTGTCGTAGGGCCCCGGTCGCTCATGCGGTGGGCCCGCTCCAGCCCGGGCGTGGCGCCCATGACGGCCTCGCCCACCTCGTGGCAGAAGTGGAGCGACCAGGTGAACCCCATCGGCAGGGCGACGCAGGCTGGCACCAAGCGGCGGTCGGGAAACGCGGCGCTGTCCCCGATGGTCTTGCCGGTCACCCCGATCTCCTGCGCTGTCGCGGAGCGGAGGCAGAAATAGGAAGAGGGCCCCCGGTCAATCCTGAAGCGATGGAAGGCGTCGCTGATGTCGGAGGTGCCCAGCGTGAAACCGAGGTCCGACTGGCCGCGGCACTCGACGCCCTCCACCGCGATGCGGGCGAGGCCCTCGGCCGTCACGAGCGACGCCCCAGGGGGCGAGGTGAAGTGCAGGTTGCTGCGCCGCGCGTCTATGATGAGACGCAGCTGGTCTGACTTCTTGGAGACGAAAAAGATCCCGACGTCCTCGCGCCGCTCGCTCTCGTCCAGGAGCACCAGAAGGCCCTTGGCGTAGAGGGGCTTCACCAGGCGGACGTAGAGCCTGCGGTTGCGAGCCAGAGAGGGGCCCCAGTGAGGAATGATATCACGCTCATCAAGTCGGCAACGTAAACTAGCCTCATCTAGAAGCATCCGAGAAAAACCGTCTTCGAGCTACTGGCCTGTCTGGGCAGGAACGATGTCCAACAGCCGTGGCCCTCCCACTGCGGTCTTAGGTAAAAATATATGCCCCACATTGCGAAGACGTCCTACGTTCCGCCCGGCCGACTCGTCGTAGACACTGCGGCCGTGCAGCAGCTCAGAAAAGGCCGCTCGCGGGGAAGGGATCGCGGTCTCCATCGGCGGCATACAGTCAGCCACGCATTCCAGGATCCGCGCGTGCACCCTCACCTGGTCAAAATTCGGTCTGTCGCCTGTGGAGGTGCGGTTCATCAACCAATTCAAGGCGTCGACGACCTCGTCGAAGTCCTGGCAGGCTCGCCTGGCGAGCCGAGCAGCCCCGCGGCCCTGGAGCCGCGGCCAATCCCTTTCATGCTCGCTCAGCCTTGGCAGGGGGAACACCGGCAGCAGGTCCACCCCGACTTCGCGACTGGGCTGTGCGCTGCCGGCGGGGCGCCCAACTCCGCCGGCGGGGGCAGTCGTGCCCCCTCGGGCGCGGTGAGCTTCCCACCGCGCCCAGCCGCCCCGCGCCCGCCGCCGCCTCCAGGAGCGCCGCGGCCGCGCCCGTCGGCGCCGCGGCCCCGGCCGTCGCCGCGGCCCCGCCCGCGCCCGTCGGCGCCGCCGGAGGGCCCGCTCGGGAGCCCCTCGCCGGCCTCCAGCGCCAGAGGGCTCGGCGCAGGGAGCCCGGCAGCCCGGCTCTTCCAGTTCTCCAGCTCCATCTCCTCCTTGTTGCGGCGGAAGACTGCGGTCCTCAAGGCTGGGTCAATCACGCCCATCGGGCCTGCCACGCCCGCGTAGTGCCGCAGCCCGCCCCACTTCGGAGGCTTGTTGGGATCACCAGAGTAGGCCTCGACGATCTGCGACACCCGACGACGCAACACCTCAATGCTGGCCATGCTGGGCAAGTTGACCCGGTCGTAGCTTCCCGCATAGAAGATCGCCGTGAGCAGGCACTCCATCTCGATGTAGCTGCGGTCCGTCTGGCTCAGCTGCCGGCCCCGCGCCCACAGGTCCAGCCAGAGCAAAGGGGATCCGCCGTTCTGCTCCCGGCGCTTCGCCATGTGCTCCACCGTGCTGAGGCCGTCCTCAAGCGGCCAGTCCTTGAACGTGTACTTCTTGATCTCGCGGGCGACCTCGCGCCACGGCTTGTGGCGGCCCCCTTGCTCGTCATGCTGAACCCACAGCGCCCTCGCGTCGTCGACCGAGTCCGCCTCGCGCGCCCCCTCCGGGGGGGGCGCCCCCAGCCTGTCTCTCAGGTCCTGGTCGTCAGCGCTGGGGCCGGCGGCCTCGGCGCCTCCGCGCGCGGGATCTGCCTCGCCACCAGGTGGCAAGGCCGGCGGCGGCAGCGGCGGCCCCCTCTCGCGGGCGTCGGCGGGCAGGTCCCTCTCGACCAGCCCGAGTAGCTCCCGCGGGCGCCTGTCCCTGAAGGTGTCCACCGCGCCGACGGGGATCGCCTCCACGAGCTGCCAGATGCTGGCCTCTCTCACCATCGCGTGGTCGTCGTCCAGCCTGACGCCGCCAGCCTCCAGCACCACTTCGACTCCCAGGCGAAGGGGGCCGGGCGAGTTGACCAGCCGGCAGCATCCCTCAGGCGGCTCCAGCGCTGGCGGGGCGGGAACAACTGCCTCATCAGCGCCCGCCGAAGGCGACGCGCCACCAGGAGGGGCGTCGGTTCCCCCGACAGCGTCCCTGGCCCCCCGCAGCGGCAGGCGACGTCGGAGGAGCCCGAACGGGCGGGGGACCCCCTCCCAGGTGTAGACCTCCACGGGGTCCACCAGCGGCTCGTCACCGACGTGCTCCTGCTGATCAGTCCTCGACCTGAGCATCGCGGCGTGCAACTCCTCCCAGGTCAGCGGCTGCGCGAACCGGTAGAAGGCGCCGTGGGCCACGGCGGGCGCCGTGCCGTCCAGCGCGACGGCGAAGGCCCTGTTGCAGCCGTCGCCGACGGAGCCCGACACGTCCTCGGCGTACGACCGGCGTCTGGCGTCAGCACCCACCAGTACGTGCCCCCCGCGGGGTACAGCAGCACCCGCTCGTGCCACACCGTGTCGCGCGGGTACCAGAACCCGAACCGGCGTCCTGGCCGGAGCTCACTGCACCACGCCCCCACCTCGACGAGTGCGCCGTCCGCGGCCAAAGTCGTCGGGCCGCGGCGGCGGCGGGGGAGCGGGGCGATCATCGCGACGGGCTCGGGCCGCCGCGCATCAGCACACCAGGATTACCGCCTCCCCGCAGGCGATCCCCCACGCCAAGATGAAGGCGAAGAGACGACCTTCGCCCACGGCTGGGCCTGCCTCGGGCGCGGATGGCGCCGCTCGGGCCTCCTCAGGCCCCAGGGGCGGCAGCCGCTCCAGCAGCGCCGCGACCACCTCGTCGGCCGAGGGGCAGGTGGCCGGTGCAGGCGAGGAGTTCGCCACCAGCCAGGGCCCGAGCTTCTGCGCCACGGCCGCGGCCACCGCGCCGGCGCTCGGCGCCGGCGGTGGCGGCGGCGCCGGCGCCGCAGGCGGGGGCCACTGCGGCGCGTGGCACACGCAGGACGGGCAGCTGGTCGAGGCGGCCACCAGCGCCGCCAGCCAGCTCGTCGCCCAGCGCAGCCCGGCCCAAGCAGCTGGTGCCCCCACCGCGGCGCTCACCGCGAGCGTGGCGGCGCCGCCCGGGGCCATGGCCCAGCCCGACTCATGCACTTCAAAAAGATCAAAAGCCATGGAGCGGCCCAGACAATCACGCGCAAGCACTCCCAGGGGCCATGTTTGCTTCTGCGGGCCCTCCTGGGAGTCCTCTTGGATGCGTCTTGGGCCGTCTTGGGCGGTTTGGGGGGCAGTCTGCGGACCATTTTCGGCTGCCTGGGGGCCTCTTAGAGGCCTCTTGGGGGCTTGTGGGGGGCCTCTTGGGGCATTCTGGATGCTTGGGAGGGCCTTCTTGGGGTCTCCCAGGGCTCTCTTCGGGGAGGAAGGCTGGAAATATTAGGTCGGGTACCCCTGTGAGCCCTTTATGGGAGCGGTCCTGGGGCCTTCTTGGGCTGTCTTGGGGGCCTCTAGGGCACTCCTGAACCCCACTTGAGCCGTCTTGGGTCCCCCTTGGAACTCTCTTTGGCCGTCTGGTGCGATGTTGGGGCCTTCTGGGACCCTCTTTGGCCGTCTTGGCGCGATCTTGGAGGCCTCTGGGCGAATATCATAAAAATGCACGTTTTTCGGAAGGGAATGAAGCCATTTTTGCTTCTGCGGGCCCTCTTGGGAGTCCTTTTGGATGCCTCTTGGGCCGTCTTGGGCGGTTTGGGGGGCTGTCTGCGGACCATCTTCGGCGTCTTGGAGCGACAAGTCGGTGATTCTGGGCGTCTTCGGCTGTTTGGAGGCCTCCTGAGACCTCTTGAGGAGCTGTCCTGAACCGTCTCGGATCACCCCCAGAGCCCCCGGTACCCCCATGCCCCCTCGGGGCAGCCGCCCCCGGGCGCCCGGGCGTCGTGCACGGGGATATATATATATATATATATATATATATATATATATATATATATATATATATTACCCTTTTGAAAACTCATACAGAGAATCTGTATCCTCTAAAGTACATTCTGGCACATTCTAGGATCGCGCCTCTTGTGGCCAACGTGCGCCCTCTCAAGAGTCGCGCGCGCCCTCCTCTACAGGCCCTTCTAAAGGAACCTATAGAGACGCCTCTAGAGCCCCTCAAAGCCTCCAAAGAATACGCCCCCATGCACACCCTCCACCCGCACCCGCGAGCTCACCCACGAAGGACGCCTCCCAAAAATTGGACGCGCCGTCAACGCCCGCCCGGCCCCTTCTCTGCGATGCCGGACGGTCCGCATACCTCCACCACCACCCCATCCAACAAAATATGCACAGAAGCCTACACAAGGAAACAAGCAACGTGAGAAAATGAGGAGGCCCAGGGGAAACTGGAGGGCCGCGGCCAGCACGGCTCGACCATGTCGGCGCTGTTTTCCCCGTCCATGTGATCATGGTTGTCGTCGTCGTCGTTGTCGTCGTCGTCGCTTTCGTCTTCGTCTTCTTCGTCGTCGCCGTCGCCGTCGCCGTCGTCGTCGTCGTCGTCTCTGTATCATTTTTTGTTTGTTCTCTCTCTCTCTCTCTCTCTTTGCCTCTCTCTCTCTCTCTCTTTTCTCTCTCTCTCTCTCTCTCTCTCTCTCTCTCTCTCTCTCTCTCTCTCTCTCTCTCTCTCTTTCTCTACCTAACTGTGCAGATACCATGAGTAGCTATACACACAGACAATGATCTGGTTGGACTTATGGTCCGTAGCTGGGGCCCCAAGAATCCCCAAGACAGCCGCCAATGTGCTGCAGGAGGCCCCCGGAGGCCTCGAAAACCCCCCACGACGGCCCAGATGGCCCCAAGATTGCTCGAGATGTGCCCAAGATGGCCCACAGAGGGGCAAAGAGGCCCCCCAGAGACCCCAAAGAGAGCTCCGAGAGGCGTCCGAAAAAGGGCCCCCAGAGGCAAACATTACAAATCCCAGGTTGGGTTTTGAAAGGTTTGACGTTTTTTCTTGCTTCTGCCTGCCAACGCTGCTCGACAACCAAAAGGCCCCCAAAACCGCCCCAGAGAGGCAAAAGAGCCCCCAAAAACGGCCCAAAATGGATTCAAAACGGCCTCACAAGCGCCCGCGACAACCGATGAGGGCCCAATGATGACCTCAAACGGCCCCTTGCCTGAGCAATTTCTGTGCGCCGCTGTTCGCCGCGCGCGACTTTTCGACACCACGCCAGGGCCACCTGACGAGCCAAAGGCTCGAAGGCGCAGCGTAGCAAACTGTAGAACACACACACACACACACACACACACACACACACACACACACACACACACACACACACACACACACACACACACACACACACACACACACACACACACACACACACACACACTTGACAGGTCGAAAGACCATCCGTATCACTGAGGCTTCTTGTAAGGTTACTGGGACACACGATTCTGAGCGAAATTCCTGAGTTAAATGCAAGGTTTCCTCGAGGGCCGAGCGAGAGGTGACGTTTTCTGTACAATGGATTCGAACGCCCCCGGCGGCGGGGCGACTCCGGGGGACCAATGTGCACCCTTCGGTGTTGCGGGGGTCCTTTCTTAAGGCTTAAGGTTTGCGTGGGTCGTGAGACTTATGAGAAGACTTATGAGGAGACTTATGAGGAGAGGACTTATGAGACTTGACAGCTTTATGAGAAGAAGACTTGTGAGACTTTGATGAGAGCGAACGACCCGACTGCGAAGCAGAAGTATCATGCCTCGCGCGGCTGAACGACCCGACTGTGAAGCAGAAATATCATGCCTGACTGTGAAGCAGAAATATCATGCCGCGCGCGGCTGAACGACCCGACTGCGAAGCAGAAGTATCATGCCTAGTGCGGCTAAACGACCCGACTGTGAAGCAGACCCAATCATGTGGAGCAGACCCGATTGTGAAGCAGACCGAATCCTGTGCATCACGTCAAAAACCTCCCCGGCCTGTGACCCCTTGGGGGAGGAGGAAGGGGAGAAGGGAAAGAGAAAGAGAGGGAAGGGAAAAGGGGAAGGGGGAGAGAGAGAGGGAAGGGAGAGGGAAGGGAGAGGTAGGAGCCCCCCAAGTACGATCGGAGCACTGTTGTCTTGCGCCCTTCGGCGTTATGAGTCTTTGTCCTGGCTCCAATAACGATTCAAGAGGTTTGAGACAAGCCGTATTCTAAGGTATTGGGCTGCTCGCAGGCACCTGCCCGAGGTGGCCCCCACGCCCCGGTGAGTTGAGCAGGGCCTGCCCGACCGGTCCGTGCCTGCTGGTTCGTGAGGCTTCTTTTTCCGCATTTTTTCCACGTGGCGGACTCCGGATGGGCGTCCCTGCACTGCAATGAGTTGTAAGATCGCCTTGAGAAAGTTGCGAGTAAAGTTGTGGGAGACGTTATAAGGGAAGTTATAAGGGGGTTATAAGGTTCCTGCAGAGAAGGACATCTAGCGCACTGCGGCTGGGGATGGGGAGATTGGAAGAACGGGGAGAACGAGACGAAAGGAGACATAACCAGGACGGGGAAGGGGAGAAGGGGGACGCGAGGAAGAAGAAGAGGAAGAGGAAGAAGAACAAAAGAGAAGAAGAGAAGAAGAAGAAGAATAATAAGAAGAAGAAGAGGAAGAAGAACGGCGAGTCAGCATGCACGGTCTCTAGCCCCTTGGACACAGGGGTCGGCTTGGGCAAGGGGCCTCTGTTGGGCCCCTTCCCTACTCGGGGCGTGCGACACGCAGTGTCCGCATGTCTCCTTCGGCTACCGCTTGTCTCAGCCGGCGCGCAAACGCAGGTTGCAAGACAGCGCGGTATTTGCGTGAGAATTTGTGCAGCACTCGGTTGATCTCCGCCGGCGAGTGCCCCACTGCCACATAAACTGCGACTACTGCGGCCACCGCCGCCTGCGCGCGCCACACAGGGAAACTCAATCGCACTGCCTGGTGGAGCCTGCTCGCGAGACCAGCGGTCAGGATCCGAGGGCTGCCTGCGGAACGTGGGCTCCTGTATCGCCATCGGTCCTCTACGGGCAACACTCGGCTGAGACTCTTGCCAGGCTGGATTCCCCCCATTCCCGGCACGATGTATTGCGTCTCCAAGGTGAGTCCGTTTATGTACACATGCGCACCTACGAATTCAGAGTTGCCCACTGCTTCCAAGACAACCGGCGCTCCGTAAAAATCCTCGGCCCGCGCACTCGTGGAGATAAGCGGCTTCCCTTCGCGCAGAAGGTAAAGAAGGGGCCGATTATCTACGTAGCGCGTGGCTGCCCAGGTGCACCCCTGTAACCTCCGCGACGCAGGGAACGATTGCAACCACTCTCGCTCTCGTGCCATGACAGTGATAATGCACCATGGCGGCGATAGGGGGGAGCCTATAAACGCCCCCCTCACCTGTCGCACTACCCGTCCGCTACTTTCACACATGGAAGCTGCCTGTGCGTGCCGGAGCACGGGTATAATATACTTTAACGGGACCCGCACGCCATCGGGATCATGGGTTTTTCCATGGATCGTGGCGCGCTTGTTGTCCCGCAGGAAGACAGTAAGCACTATGTCCTGGGCGCTTTCGTGCTCCCGCCGCTTGGTGGCGAGATACATTTCGACGAGGTTCTCGGCATCCCGGAGGAGGCGGTCCTGAGGAGGAGACGGGAAGAACCCCTTCAGATCGTCATTGTCTATGGCTAGCGCGCAACCGGCCGGGATGGGTTCGCTGCTTTGTTGCAGGTGCTGCAAATTGCGATTGAAACACCTAATGCATTCGATGGCCCCCTGCACAGTGGAGGCATTGAAAGTTCCCCTGCCGTGCACTACGCTGGCCATGTCCGCCAGCGCTTTGCCTACAGCGCGGTGCAACTTCTTTAAAAAGAAGCCGGCAAACGGTATTATGCATCTCGCAGTGCTGCACCCCTTCTTGGCCTTGGGTATGCAATACGAATTGGGCAACAGTTTCGGGTGCTTTCCTACGAATGCCCATCTACAAGCAGCGCGAATGCCTGGCGGTAGACTGTTCCACAAACACACGTGCGCTTCCCCCGGCGTTGTGTTTTCTACGCGAAACACTTCGGGGGTTTCGAAAAAAGTTCGCTCGTGCAGTAAGGCAAAAAGTTGCGGGCAGTATGCCGCCGACCTAGAGTGTTGATGATCCT